TTCGTATCCAGCCTTATTCAAATGATTCCAAACGGTGTTTTTTGTGCAATCTTTTTTAGCCTTGGGCTATCGAAACAATGCTTACATAATTATCCGACTGCACAATGCCCTTGATTTTATCGGCATTTTCGACAATTGGCCTTCCACTCCGTGCAGGATTTTTTACATTAAAATTGCCTTAAAGAAACCAAAATTTAGCATAATTGACTGTAACAGTATCAGAAGCATAAGCGCCATTCAGATTTTCAGCAGCCTGGCTTGCGTTTTCGCTCTTATCGAGGAGAACCTGTAAAATATAGCGTATTTTCTCTTCGCTAGTGTCCATCTTTGACGCACGCTCAAACAAAACTGAATCAAGCAATTATAAATAAAAAATAAATGCGATTTTACTACGAAATGCCATCTTTCTAACGCTATCTAGCGGAAGCCGATGGGATTTCTACCATCAGCCGTTCGGAGGCGGCTTAGTATAAACTGTAGGTTCCTCGCTTTGTTGGGACACAAGACACAAAGCTACAAATTGGAGGAGGAGTTCGGCCGAAAAATCGCTTCAGCAGTTACAAAACGCCAATTATATATATATATTTCATGAACATATTTTTGTGTCAACACATACATTCGTTCTCCTCTGCTCTCGAAAAATGATATAAATAAAATTTTGGAAAAGAATATAAAAAGTTGCTCTGTAGCTTGTTACCCATTCCTAAGATTTAAAAGAAGCTGAATCGTTGAGAGCGTTCAATAACATTGCAAATAGTGCATATCGGAGCTGCTGGCGTAAGAGTTTTGTGTTTTTATCGTTTTGAAAAAGAAATCGCATTACCTCCTCGACCGACCTCGTACGCTTTGGGTTGTACAAAAATGTTTTTGCTGTCACCAGAGCATTTTTTTTCAGAAGCTTTCAATTAAGCAAAATAAAGGTTCAGGATTCCAACACAACACACTAACCAAGCTGTTAATAATACAACAACAGATTATATGGCTGATGTTGGTCCAGTAGTAGAACACTCGCCTGTTCAGTCAGGATCCGTTGGTTCGATCCCTGCCATAAGAAGTCTGATGATGAGATGTCGTGATCTCCGAAACAGCTGTCACTTCTACCATTTTTCTTTGTTGTATAACAAATATTCAATTCATACAAACAACAAGGCCTCGTAATTTACTTAATAAAATTAATATATAGCATGGCCGCAAAAAAAAAATATAATAAAAGTTTTTTAAGTTGAGTTCTTCTTCTTCTTAATTGGCGTTGGCACCGCTTTAAATTGAGTTGGTTAAGATAAAAATATTTTGTTTGGCTAAAAATTTCAATGTGGCTAAAATAATTGTTTTCCAGTTTACTGTACATATTTATAAATTTATAAATAACATATTTTTTGTAAAATACAATTAAAATTTATAGAAATAAATAAATTAGTTTTTCTCTTCTGTCGTTTGATACATATATTTATAAAATTTTGAGCAATCCTTATATACGAGTAGTTTTAAGTAAACCATATTTTTCGTACAAATCATTATAAATGAATAATATTTTTATTTACTAATAACTGCATACATACATATACATACATATATCTTCATATGTATATATGATTAGATATGACTAAAACACATACAATTGAGTGAGCGCATACCACCTACATACACCGCTGTAAATAATAAACAAATAAACAAAGAAATAAAATCACCCACACAAACACACCAACACACTACAATAAATCTCTTAATAGCAAAAGATTTTTACAAAACAATGAGCAATGAACGTTTAACTCGTGGCTGTAAACACCTTGAAGTGCTAAAATTACAACACCGTCACATGAACTGTCCTTGAATAACTTTTGATTCATCATCATCGCCTCGCCGCAGCAGCGCGAAGGTAATAAACAGCGGCATCATTATTAACTACATCATCACCATGAATGTGTTTTTGTTACTGCTACTGTTGTTGTTTTTGTTGTTATCGTTCATCAACATTTTTTCTGAAGGTTTCATGCTCATAAATGAAAGCACAACAAAATGTACATATGCGCTGTTGCTGCTGCTGCTGCTGCTGCCGCCGCCAGAGCTCAGCAAGTTGTAGATCACTCATACGCCATGTTGTGCGCACCTGCTGCCTCACCCAAACAGCTAAACAATCAAACAATCAAACGACTATGAGGCTAGCTGCCCTCACGCTCACCTCTCCTTAACTTTGGTCAATTTTAATCATCATCACTGGTGGCTGCATTATCGCGGATGTCAATGTCAAAAAGGAATGCCAAGTAGCTCGATGTGCGGACGGTTGGACGGATGAGTCGTTCGAAGGATGGCTTGCTTGTGCCACATTGAGTTCTGTTTTTGTTGGCTACAGCTGCAGTTGGCTTTTGAGTGAGTGTACGTCATATGCTCCCTTCTAGCTTCGTCTGCTGTTAAGTTGACGTATTTACTATATATGTCGTATATATGTCTTAGACATATATTGTAAACATTTCAAGTTCAAAAATAGTATTTTCTTAAAACATTAATACAAAAATAATTCCATCAAACGCCCTTCAATATTTTCGAGAGTTCATGCACTTACTTTGGGATTAAATGTACAAAGCAATTAACCTTCGGTGAAAATACCAAGTCCAAACGCAATTTTACATACATACATTGACATTGTCTATCTGTAAGTTCCCGCTTTTATATTTTCATTTGCACTTAAATATACACACCTTTTCTGCGCTCGACACTGTTCATTGCCTCGTTCAGGTATTTAAATGTACGTTTTCATTGAGTTAAAATAAAGAACAGAATTATTTTTCAGAATATTCTTAAAGAGTAAAAATAAAAGTGGTGTAAGAGGGAGGCTGGTAGAGTGAAAGAAGCTTATACTATCAGTTAAAAGGTACAAAATATCAAAATGCGTCTCTGCGAAAAATTGAAACTTCTACCAGTGTCTCTAAGAGGAAGAGGAAGTTAGCTTTCAGCGAGTGCGCATTATCTGAATGAGACAAATAGTATTAGTCCAGCCTACGTTATGCCTAAAATATAGTTCAATTAACCTTTTAAATCACGGAAAAAAAATTCACTGAATTTCGTATTAAAGCCAGAAGTTTGTCATGTCTAAGGTTGCTTTCAATCAGTGTTTGAAGAGCACTTATTAGCGCAGTGTGATTAAGATTATTTAACTCAATACAGAAAGCACGGACCCGTCACCTACACTGAGGATAAAGAGCTCAAGAGTTTTCCCGCAGTAAAGTATGTCTCTGCTATAGTCTGGCCTTTATACCGAAACGACCCGGAATTTTATCCCAAAAACTTCTTTGATGAATATTTTCTCGTCGACGACAACAACAATAACAACAACACAGACCCATCTCGGTATAGCTAAGAATACGCTTTAACAGTCATAAGTTTCATCGTTGAAAAGCTACAACCACCAAGCAGATTTCAGCTCAGTTTGCGGTCATTATCTCTAAGAGTACTACTCTACTCTACTACTCTAAGCGTACTGTGGTATGGTATTGCAAGGTTTTCGGTAATTTAGTAAGAATATCTTATGAGGAATGTATCTTCTGCAAGAAGATAAAGTAACTAACTAATGGATTCATATTTATAGCATATTGAGCTTAAGAAGCAGACACCTGTGCTGCCTGCTTAATAGCGGCTGCAATAAAACCCTCGGACAATGTATAGTTGAACCAACTGCAGAAGATATGTTCAAGCACCGACGTTTGATACAATTTTAAATACAATTACAAATCTGAAAACATCAACAACAACAACAATAACAACAACAGTAACGATCTCGTATTGAATATATCTATCACTCTTATTTAGCACTAAGGACTACCTCAGACCTATCAGCGTCTTAAAATATTTTCAAAAGTTTTAGTAGAAGATCCACAAAATTACTACGGGGCAACATAAATGGCAGACATTCCAAACTGTTGACTGTACAAGGCAAAAGTCATATTCTTGTAGGTCGACGGACGGCGCATCAACACCAGACATATGTTCTTCAATAAACTACGTAAAATTGAAACTACTTACTGACAGCTCTGAGAGAGGCCTACAGCCGATTGAGGCATTATGTCTTCCGCGATAAATTATGTACGCATAGTTGAAAGGAAATAAAGTGAATTATTAAGTTAATACTTAGTTAATTAAGCCAATTCAGCGACGTAATTTCAGCCGCTTACAATAAGCGTCTCCTCTGCTCACCATATAAACAACCAAAGAGTGTGAGTTCTATATGGATTTTAAATGGATGCATAATAAAAATAAAAATTTAAAGAAAAAAATCACGGAGTGGATTCGCAATGCACAGGATGAAAGTGCATTTACCTTTATAAATCGTATAAAAAATATTCATGTATATACATACATATAGATATATATATACTTACATATATATATATATATATATCAAATACCTCAATAAATTTTGTTTCATATCATTGCGAATGTGAAGCAAAAGTTCCTACAGCGATCCATCCAACAGTGGATCAAGGTTCTCTAAAAGAGTCCGTGTGGGATTGAAAAATAATTTAAAATAATTTTCTTTTAACTCTTTTTTAGTTAAAATATTCCACATAAAAATGTAATTTAATGTATGAAAGCAGAAAGCAAATAAGGATTTAATAGTTTTTCATCTTAAGCACTCTGTACAACCAAATGAAAGTGAAAAGTATAACCATTTTACGAAATTCATTGCATGCTTTTAGGCGTACTATACTTTTCGTTTACTCAAATACATAAGTTAGACCTTTTTGTGCATTTGAAATCATCCAACCAACCCATATTCTGCCATTATATTTGTATTTTTAATGAAATTTCAATTTGAAACAACAACAAATTAATGTTCGCCATTTTACTAAGCAATTAACAATTAATTTAATTATTAGCAAATTTTGAATATTTTATTGTACAGCAACATTATATTTAGTGCAACAAAAGCAGTGTTAATAAGCATCTTTTTATTTTTTTTTTTTTTGCTTTGGCAGAGCAATACATTATTCTCTTTATTGACTCACTTGATTCACAATGGCCGCTTGTTCCTCGGCAACATCTTGTTGATGATCACGTGTTGGCATGGGGCTAAAACAACCACTCTCACGTTGTGCCGGCGGTGCCACATAACCGCCCGAAGCGTTCAGTTTCGGAAATACTGTTTGCGGCAATGAATCAACGGGCAGTTGCAAAGCTCGCTCATAATGACCGGGTCCAGGCAAAAATGGTGAAGGACCTCTGTGTGATGCATAAATATGAAAAGTTTAAATGAATTACATATCAAAATAAAGTTTAGCTTATTGAAAATACCACTTACCTGTGTGGCACATTGGCATTAGTCAGATCTGGGCTATTGCTATTTACTGGTGATGGACCTAAGCCAGCTCTAGATGGATCGCTGCCAAGTCCTTGTGTGTATGCTATTTTACTGTCACGATGTACAACGATTTTGATTTCATTGCCCGCTCTGCGGAAGAGTGTTTCGGCATCGGCGTGGGTAACATCACGAGCATCATAGTCACGTATCTTGGCGATGATGTCGCCGCGTAGCACTTCTCCATAAGCAGGACTGCCCATTTGTACCTGTGAGAGTAGAAGGAAGTGATTAAATAATTAAGAGCTATGAATCAAAAAGGGGGTATTTTTTTAGAATTTCTGCGCTAAGGAGAATAAATGCGAAACAAGAACATCAATCATACTCGCATTACAGGAATTTTTTTCTTTTATACAGTTATAGAGCAGAACTTGATTTCTCTCATATTTTGTTAGATAAACATTATAATAGTGAACACAAAAATGTTAGAAAAATAACAGATGGACTCTTCAGTTGTTTTATTATTAACGATGCACCACTGCGTATACGTAACTTTTATATTAACCTTTATATGACGGATATTTCATTGGTGGCATATTCTATTTCGTACAAGTGTCACTCAGAACGCAAAGTTTGAGAATTGGAATACTCTACGTTGAATAGGCTGCCTTTGAAAGACTATATTTTTTTTTAATTTCTGCATATTATGTATTATATCACGGTCCACATGAAGGACCTTTTAGGAATAAATAAATATACACATAAATACTTAAAGAAATATGCAAGGCACATTTGCTCGTAAATACATCAAATTTCGTCGCATAAATTATCTTTAATGGATACTGAAATTCGCTCATAAAAGTTTATGTCAAATCAAATATTGAATAATATTTTCGTAATTATATTCATAAAGAGCACGAGGACGTGCTGACCTTCAAGTGTACTTTACGATTGATTTGAAATTGCAAGCACAAATTGCGCAAACCATAATTGATTTACCGGATTTACATAAATATTTGTTGAGAATAGATTTGTATCTTTTATTTAGATATTTTTCAGCAATTCAAGCAAATTGATAAATTGCTGGTATTAAAACATGAAGATGCATATACATATCTACGCTTTTGCTATTAAAATAAATATAACCTAATAAATGTACCGAAAATTCTTATACATACATATATAAATAACTCAAATTTGCAAGAATATTCCAGATTAAATATGAATATGAATGAGAGAGTAATTATTTGTATTTTAAATTTTTCTTATTTTTTATTGTTATAAATAAATGTAGACCGATGAATCAGATTTTCTTAATTTTCATGTACAGTTTACTGTTGGAAAATGACTTCAACTTTTTCAATTAGTGAATCATATAACTTATAAATACAACACTTTAGCTATAATACAAAAATAGCAAAGAAGACATTTGAAAACCGTCAGCAGCTTAAATCTGTGTAACAGTTTCTGTGGCAATCTGGTACTCATCTGCTCCACTTTCAGGAACTTTTTTTCTTATCGTATGCCTGGATCGTATACAGAACACACCCTCCAAGTTTAAGTTTAGTATTATCAGTGGTTTAAGTTGTGGATTGATCCATCAGACATTCATTCCGCAGATTTTTAGAAATAAATAGAAAAATATATATATTGTAAAGAGAAATTAATTAACCTAAACTTCTGAACTAGCATTATTGTTTTTTTTTTTGAGCGAAAAAAAATGAAACGGGTAATTAATGCAGTTTTACAAGCTGTTGACGCTGAGAACCCCTCACTTTCATGAATTCGCCTTAATCAAACGCATTTAAATACATACATACAGTTGCGTACAACTAATTAACAACGACTTGTTCCTATAGATTATATGACCGTTTCAGTAAAGAGTTCGCAATCAGATATTAATTTAAAAAGTGATATAAAAGCATTTTCCCAAAAAACAAAGAGAGCGTTGTTAAATAGTTGCACGCATCTGTATATTGGTGATATCTGTATAAAAAAAATTATGGACAAGACGAAGCTTTTAGGCGAATTAGTTTCAACTGATCTTAGCATTTTATAGCCCCTGAAGTAGGAAAGGTTAGCTTACAGCTGTGATCACCTCATTTTAAGCGCAGAGTTGCATGAATGATTTTTCTACCGATTAAAGAAGGAATCAGGTTACTTCATAGTCTCTGCAATGGGGTTTACTACAAATTTAGTGCAGAAAGACGTTCTCATCCAAGAAAACTGTCTGTCGTGAATATCTTCCTCTTTGTGTTAGAAATAACCGAAATTTTTCGGCCACAAATGGAAAATATGAAAAGTTATTACATCAGCTGTTATTTAAAAAATTTATAGTTTCTGAAAAGTTATTAATAGATACATAAAATCATAAGTAAACCGTAAAGAATGTGGAAAACTGTGTCCTTTGATCCTAAGGATTCAGGGTTCAGGGTTTCAAACACGACTGAAGAGACAGTTGGTTGGTAAGGACAAAACCGTTTCAAATATTTGTCTACGCAAAAAACTATAAAGTTGTAGCCAATAAGCCACGACAATGATAAAGACACTTAATTTAGCTATTTGGCAAAAAGAAAAACAGAGACTGTGGATTTTCTTCTATTTAATTTGTTAACTTTACTTAATTTTTTGACTTTATTATTTAATTTTATTTTATTTTATTTTATTTTATTTTATTTTATTTTATTTTATTTTATTTTATTTTATTTTATTTTATTTTATTTTATTTTATTTTATTTTATTTTATTTTATTTTATTTTATTTTATTTTATTTTATTTTATTTTATTTTATTTTATTTTATTTTATTTTATTTTATTTTATTTTATTTTATTTTATTTTATTTTATTTTATTTTATTTTATTTTATTTTATTTTATTTTATTTTATTTTATTTTATTTTATTTTATTTTATTTTATTTTATTTTATTTTATTTTATTTTATTTTATTTTATTTTATTTTATTTTATTTTATTTTATTTTATTTTATTTTATTTTATTTTATTTTATTTTATTTTATTTTATTTTATTTTATTTTATTTTATTTTATTTTATTTTATTTTATTTTATTTTATTTTATTTTATTTTATTTTATTTTATTTTATTTTATTTTATTTTATTTTATTTTATTTTATTTTATTTTATTTTATTTTATTTTATTTTATTTTATTTTATTTTATTTTATTTTATTTTATTTTATTTTATTTTATTTTATTTTATTTTATTTTATTTTATTTTATTTTATTTTATTTTATTTTATTTTATTTTATTTTATTTTATTTTTCTTTATTTTATTTTATTTTATTTTATTTTATTTTATTTTATTTTATTTTATTTTATTTTATTTTATTTTATTTTATTTTATTTTATTTTATTTTATTTTCAGAGATAAGGCTCAACGCTTTGAACTTTAAACGCTGTCAAAAGTTCGCGAAAACTACTCAACCCTTCTTGATGGAGTTTTATACAGGTTTTCGTTATACAATTCACGAGGATTCGCATGAACATCCGCAAGAAAATATTTTTCAAAAACAACATGAAAACTGCATTTTTTATTGTATTAACTAAAATACGATTTCCTTTTCTTTCACTGCGGGTGACCCTGTTATGAGTTCTACTGTCAATACCATCCTACATTTTTTCTGCAGGATCACCGTAAAAGTCATCGCATTGGCGGAGTTATGAATATATATATTTTATATAAAAGAAAATATTGTTGAAAACAGAACTTTTTCTCGAATAAATCCACGTGACCCTTAAGGTTTAGGAACTGGAATAAAAAAGGTGGTCCATTCTCTATTGAATTTGTAAACACACCCAGACTGCGCATAAACCGAAGTCAGACAGGCTCATTTGCGCAAATATTTCTTGAATGATAAATAAATATTGATGTATGACCATTTCATATACACACATTCATGTATTTATCAGCTTTTGTTGTCGTTAAGAAACTTTCCTTTTCGAGGACAAATTTAAATAGAATTCAAGATATTTTCATTTACTCATGTGTATATACGAGTATGTATGTGAATTATATGAACATGTTTACACATTGTTATCAAAAAAAAAAAACAAAAATAAAAACATTTTATTATTTCATTATTAAAAATTTTTAAAAGGTTTCCCAAAACAAAGAAATGTAAAAATTGCATTAACGACGCGCGCAATTTACTTGGGAATTTAAAAATGGTGCCAAATATATGTACATATAATATATATATATATGTTATATGTACATATTTTGTGTATTTGTACAGCAACAAATCAACAAATAAAAAATAAAATGGGAAATTGCAAACATATTTATTTTGAACTTGCGATCGTTTCGCTTCAATTCGCCTCTTTACGCCCCTTTTCACTCACTAGACAAGATTTATGCATATGTTCTTATGTACATATATAAATAATAATAAGTTTGTAAGTAGCTCGCGCGGTGCATTCTTCGGTTTACAAAAATATATTATTTTTTGCATTTGTTTGTTGTTTCGTGCAACGAGCCAACGAGCAACTTGTTTTGCTTTCACAATTCTTTGTTTGTTTGCTGCTGTTACGGCTGCTGCACAGTCTGCAGGCTATAGAATGCAATGACAATGAATGATAAAGACACTCAAAGACACACAGCACGATTTGGCTATTTGTCAAAGAGAAAAACAGAGACTGAGGTTCTATATTTTATTTATTTATTTATTTTTCTTCTGTTTATTTATTTTTTATTTTATTAGTTAGTTTATTTTCTTTATTACATTAGTTTTCTTAACTGTTATTTTATTTCTAATTTTATTATAAAAGTTTTTATATTTTTAATTCTTTTATATTTCATCTTGTTTTACTTTATTTAATTTATTATTTTCATTTATTTTTTTTTACTTGATTGGTTTTATTATTTAATTTATTATAATTTATTTATCTTTGTTAAATTTGATCAATGTTTTTATTTCATTTTTCACTTTTTTCATTTTCATTTTTTATTTAATTCTCTACATTTTCTTCCCTGATTTTATTTTCTACTTATTTCATATATTAATTTTATTTTTTATATTTATTTTTATTTCTCTTTTTTAAATTAATTAATGTTTCAATTTATTTTTTACTTTAACTCTCATTTTTATTTTTTATTTTTTTCATACTTATGTTTCTACTTAATTTTTTATTTTATTTCTTATTTTATTTAATTTTTATTATTTCAATACAAATAATTTATATTTAATTTCATTTTATTTTAATATATTTAGTTTTACATTTAATTTTCTATTACTTTTTTATTTTTTGTTAT